AGTAGCAAAAATCCTGAATTTTTCTGGTTTCAACAATGTTATACATTGTTGATCAAACGCTGCTTCTCCAGCCTTTGGCGCAAGATACGATCTCTTCGATAATGCGTCAGATAATCCTTGCTGTTTTCCAGGGCGGTAGGTGATAATAAAGTCAAATTGTGATAGAGACATATTCCATCGAGCTTGACGACGATTCAAAATTCGAGCTGTCATGAAGTACTCCAAATTCTTGTGGTCCGTATAAACAGTCACTGGATGTGCAGCTCCTTCGAGGAAGTGACGCCACTCTTGGAAGGCATCCACTATAGCAAGCAGCTCTTTGTCGTGGATCTCGTAGTTGATCTCAGTAGCAGAGAACTTCCGTGAATAGAACGCAACTGGGTGAAGCTTCTTGTCTATGCCCATCTGTGAAAGCACAGCTCCCAAAGCAAAATCTGAAGCATCGGTCTCTAAATAGAAAGCCTTTGCAAAGTCAGGGTGTACCAAGTTTGGAGCCGTAGTGAATGCCGTCTTGAGATCTTGAAATGCTTTTGCTGCTTGTGATCCCCATTCGAGCTTGTCTTTGCTTGTTAGACGCGTGAGTGGTGCAGCAACTTGAGAATAATTCTTGATGAAGATCCGATAGATGTTAGCAAATCCAAGAAAACACTGAACATCTCTAACCGTCTTCGGAACTTCCCAAGATATAATTGCTTCTACATTTTTTGGATCCATCTTCAAGCCCTCTGTAGTCGCAATGAAGCCCAAAAATTCCATCTCATTCTGGTGAAATTGACACTTCTCCAACTTGGCGTAGAGTCCTCGTTCGCGTAGTTTTTCAAGAACCAAACAAACGTGCTTCTCATGTTCTTCTTCATTCTTGGAAAATATCAAAATATCATCCAGATAGATGACAACAAAGTCATCGAGGTACTCCCGAAAGATGTCGTTCATCATATGCTGAAAGATCGCTGGAGCATTGGTAAGACCAAAAGGCATGACATTGTACTCAAAATGGCCATACCTTGTACGAAAGGCTGTCTTCCATTCATCTCCTTCTTTGATTCGCACAAGGTTGTAGGCTCCTCTTAAATCAATCTTTGTAAAAATCCTTGCACGTCCAAGTTGATCTAAGAGGCCGGAGATCAAAGGTAAGGGATAGCGATTTTTCTTGGTCACCTTGTTGAGTCCTCGGTAGTCCACGCACATCCGCAGTGAGCCATCCTTTTTCTTCACGAATAGGATTGGTGCTCCAGCTGGCGACTTTGAATGTCGAATAAAATTCTTGGCTAGATTCTCATCGATGTACTTCCGCAATTCTGCCAACTCTGTCTGCGATAGGTTGTATATTGGACCAAAAGGTGGTTGTACTCCTTCCTCTAAGTCTATGGCGCAATCATATGGTCGATGTTCCGGTAGTATATCGGCGTTCTTCTTCTGAAACACGTCTTCAAAATCCTTATATTGCTCTGGTATATTCGATGTTGAGATATTCTCGCCGCTAGTTGGAGCTGCATAAATGACAAATGGTGCGCCTTCCTTGGACGATCTTAGGAACGCTCTCGCTCCAATAAACATGGATTTCTTCATGTAGGTTCTACCAACAGGTTTATTATTATTTTTTTCAGGAAATGTTATCCTTCGTAGCCTCCAATCAATGGACGGATTATGATCTTCTAACCAAGAAAGACCAAGGATAACAGGGCTTGATGGGGTTCTAATAATATTAAAAATAACGTGACTACTATGGTCCTTAAACACCACTTCTATAGGTTCTGATTCGTGGATAACGTTGCCTGACAATAAGGGTCGTCCATCTATCACCTCTACGTGAACAGGTTTGGACTTCTATACTAAACGGATCTTGTGGCGTTTAGCAAACTCTTCATCTAAAAAACAAGTAGATGCCCCCGAATCCAATAAAGCTAAAGTTTTTTGTTTTTGAGGGCCTAAAAACAAAGGAATTGTAAAACAACGGGCAGGTTGGACAGAGAAGGAGGAACCTGATTGTTGTCGTGATATTAGATTGTCCAGCCGCACGGTTCCTACTGTGGCTGGGCATCGTCGTTTTCCAGAATCATCGCACTTCTAGTCTTGACAGGGTGCCAATTTTGCTTCTTTGGGCAATTTCCAACCTTGTGACCTTCTTCTCCACAGTACAAACATAACCCTTCCTCCATACGCCGTTTCTTCTTTGTTGGAGTAAGAGATCGGACACACGCCGTGTCGATTTGCATGTCTGTTGCCTCCGAATGTGAGTTTAAGCTATTTGCAGACATAGTCACGTCGTAACGAGTCATTTGGTGTCTTGGACGTTGGTCTTGGCGATGCTGGAATAGGCGGTTGTCACACTTTACAGCTTGGCTAATAGCTTCGTTGAGCGTTTGAGGATCAGGAAGAGATAACAGCAAGTCCTTCACATCATCCTTCAAGCCCCAATAAAACTGACTCACCAACGCCTCTTCACCCCAATTAATGTCACTTGCCAATTGTCTGAAATCCGAGGCATAGACTGATGCAGAGCGTGTTCCTTGTCGTAGCGATCGGATCTTTGTTGTAGCCCATCGAACTTTATCATGCTCGCCAAATGCTTCTGCAAACGCCTCCATGAACGTTTTAAAGTTGCTCAGGATTGGCGATCGCTTCTCGAACAAGGGATTAAATGAAGACAGGGCTTGTGCTGTAAGCAAGGTTCCAACAAGTCCAACACGCGCTTCCTCCGTTGGATAACGTTCGGGCTGTAAAATTGTTATCAACTTGATTTGGTTGACAAAACCTCGAAACTTGGAACGAGTTCCATCAAACTTATCCGGAAGACTAACTCGAGGCTCTTTTCGTTGTAGGACTACTCGATCTTGTTGAAATGGAGGTAGAACTGCTTCTTCTGGCGCAGAAGTTTGAGGCTGATATGCTTTAGATGGCGCTATCCCAGATGCTCCATTGTTATGGAGTCCTACCATGACTCCTTCGATCTCTGTTGTCCTATGTGACAATGAGGCAAGAGCATTTATGATGGCGTCTAGTTTGGATTCCAAACTTTCAGCCATTTTAACGTCTTAACCTTCGGCTAACCTTCAGAAAGAAGAAAAAAGAGTTTTGACAAGAGGACAATATTGGTTCAGAGGAGAGTACTCCGCAACCTCTAAAACGCCTTAAGACTCCAAGATGAGGGGTAATCCACTCTCTCCAAGAAGAATAAGGCTCCAATATTGAGAAAGAAGAGATATCAGTTTAGAGGAGGGTAATCCGCAACCTCTAAAACACTAGCACACCTTCAAGAAGAGGGGTAATCCACTCTCTAACAAGAAGGAACTAGCTCTGATACCAATGAAAATGCAGTCTCGACAAACTGTCACGGACTTAAAATACAGACTTGAAATCTAACAAGAAGTTCAAGAAGAAGTGGCAGAACTAGATTAAACAGATGAGTACAAGAACAACACCAGAAAGGTGAGCTAGAACTCCAAGAGATGTATTGTCGAGACTGAAGAACCCTTCAGCCTCGACTCCTATATATACTACTGAATAGGAAGCTTCTCGAGCTACTTCCGCTAACTAGGACGCTTCTCCAACAACTTCTACTAATTAGGAAACTTCTCGAGCAACTTCCTAGAATCTATCAGAATATTCTAGAACCTTCTAAGAGAATCTTTAAGGAATATTCTAAGAATCTTCTAGACCCTTCTAAAGGAATCTTTAGAGAATCTTTAGAGAATATTCTAAAAGAATATTCGAAGAATCTTCCAATGTATGTCCATGACAGTAATCCACTCTTAATCAAAAAAAGACAAGGCTCTAATATTATAAGTATATTCTTGTTAATTTGTCAATGACAAGAGCTTGATGAAAGTAAATGAACAAGTATAACAAAAATGGAAGTATGTATATTAAAAGGAAACTGGAATAGCTATTACTAAAAGACAACAAAATTATAGACTCTTGAATCTAGACTAGAAGCAAGAAAGGAATTGATAAGAGTGAAGAAGGCTTCACACTTGCATCTGTATATACTATCTAACTAAGAGTTAGGTGGTGATATTCTATAGGACCTCTAATATGTGTTGACTTTGGAGGACACATATCTTAGCTTACAAGACAAGTTTTCTATGTATATGCCACATAATTAGCTTGTTCTTCAAGCTACTAACATGTGTGGTACATGTCTAACTTGTTGACCATGTTTCTAATCTAAAAAGTCAATTATAAAGACCTACAAAGTCAAAATAGCATTTATGAAGCTTTTAAGAAGCTTTTATAGAAGATATTATGGAATTAATCTACTTTTACCTACTTTTATCTAATTATTGGTTTACATGTGTATGTCCATGGCACTATGATAATACAATATGTTATACATTTTTATTGGTGTTTAACATAGTGGTTTTAATGAAAAAAAATTAATGGTAAAAGATCAAAATATAAGTGTGTTTTTTAATGATTATAGCAAAAGATAAGATGCATGATATCTCATAAATACCATTATTTTTTAAAATTAAAATAAATATATGTCAATAATATGATAAAATCTAATAATACAAAACACACAACTTTTAAATGTAAAGAAGTAAAATATTCATAATTGCGTTTTTGATATTTTAATAAAAACAATATCTCAATGCATTCATGCAAATATTAATACTTGTGGGTTGTTTATATTTTGTTTTAAGACATTAGATTTCAATCTAAAATCATGCTTTTCCAATACAGTAAATAAAACAATCAAATAAACATTAACCTGGATGTAAAATGAAGGAAAATTAACATAAAATATGATCAATGAAGGGGTGATAATTAAGATCATATTCAACCCCTCCAAAAAATAAAAAAATAAAGAATAAAAAATATAAAAATGTATTAATAAAAAGAAAAACAAACATGAAAAATATTAATTAAGAAGCCCTTTGCGCACCGATTATTTCATCTCAGAAAGGCCAAAGGGACACGGCGATAGGCAAGAAACGCGGAAGTACGTATAACCGTGTCCAGTTCCATCGACTTCTCCAAGTTTTTTAACCTCCGCATGATTGTGAAGCATTGTTGCGAATTCACGCCGCAGAATTTCTCCGTGTGATTCATTTACAAGCTACGTTGCTGCATTTTTCTTCAAGTATGGACAGGAGAAGGAGTAAACTCTGTTGATGTAGAAGTTTTAGTTCTTACCTTTAGATGCTGCTGCAGTAATGTTTGTGGGTTTTCCGATAAGCTTTGGCAGATGCTCACACTCAGTCTCACTTCCAGCGAAGCTTTCGACCCCGGTCCAATCCCTTGGGTTCTATTCTCCATCGTGGTCACAACGATGTGCAAAGCCTGGGTTTAGAGATCCGAGTCGCTGTTTTTCTGTGCGATGGACATTTTTTCTTTGCAGTGAAGCTTTCCAATAGTTAGCAGTGGACTGAAGTTGGGTTTTGTTGATTGGGGTTTGAGTTGAAGCGAGAAAGCCACGATGAGCAGCGTCAAGGATCTGCGCGAGGCGCGTCGTCGGAAGATTCTGGAGCGGGGGAATGATCGCCTTGCATTCATCACTGGACAGGTCAAGGCTCTGTCGCCTGCCGAACCCAGTTCTGTTGTTGGTGTGCGGGGGGAATCCGGCCTCAAGTCGCTCTCCATTGCTGGCGAGCTTCCGTCTTCCAGCGAAGGTGTGTGTTGTGTGTACTTGCGTTCGATGTTTGGTTTTTTGTGTATGGTAATTGGTTGAAGTTTATGAGGTTGTGTTTAGAGTTCCATGGTGTCCCCCTTTGTGTGAAGTAGGTCTTGGTGTTGAGATGTTTGATTGGAGGTGCTTGGGTTAGCTGCTACTCGCTCAGTGGCATGGGACAGTCACTTTATTCATCGCTCCGAGATGTTATGAGTGGATCTGAAAGAGAAGGTAGTGTTACTCTGTGAAGTAAATTTAGGGTTTTGGGAAATTTGGTATAAGTTGTTACCTAGTTTTATGCTGTCTGTGGTAGAGGGGCGGTGATACGTCTATCTTGCTTCGCATTGGTCATCTGCATAGTGAGTTAGAGCTAACTATGATTTGCTCGTATTTATGCCGAGTTTGTGTATCGTCTTCTTTCTCAGATAATGCGTCCCATGACAATGCTCTCCTTTTAACTTTAATGGATTGGCGCTCTGTGTTGAATATAGCAGCCAGCCAATCTGTCGTCGCCGTGCTATCAGTTGACTGACATTATTGAGCTCCGTAGAAACTGCAATCATCTTGTACTCTATGGATTTCAGTAGCTATGGTGTGTCTAATGATGAGTTTCTTTTCTTTTGCTGCAGATCCTCTGCCTACGAGTAGCCCCTTGAATGTCCCGAACGCTATCCCTGAAGAGAGCACAAGTGTTGAAACTGAACTGCACTCACCTGATCCTGCTCCAGCAGAGGAGACTCCGTTACTGTCACCTTTGATTTCTGCACCTGCATCTTCTACCCTCCAGCAGAAAGACATTGCCCCTGCCACTAAGAGTAGGGTTGTCTCCTCTCCGAAGAGCAGGTCGAATTTTGATTACGCCACCTTAGGCAAATCAATTGACCACAGTATAGCGATTCGAGCAATTCTTTCATTTTTCATCGGGATTTCTCTAGTGTTTCAATGGGCATATTCAAAATGTCAGCGTACAGGAGCGTTTGGAAGCCAGCGTTACATCTTAAGCTGGCCAGTATTCTTGGTAATTATCTCTGATCTCACTATAGTGGTTGCTGCTCCTCTCCTGGGTTTTATTAAAGTGCCCCCTGCTTCTGTCAAAGGGAATCCTGCCGACAGGGGAGGTTTGGAAGCTCTTCGAGATCCAAAGATTGAACAGATGCTGGCGTTTACCTCGAACCTAGAAGGTGCGCTAGACCTGGGTTTATTGGTGACCAAAGCCGCTAGAGGGGTTATGTCTGACATTTCTCTCTATCTCGTCACAATGATTTGTGCAGTATCCATTGCACAGCACTATCAACCAGCTCTTTGTACATACATAAGTAGATGACTACATGTATCATGAACAACTGTTAATTGTAACACTATATAACCTTACATTCGAAGTATTTTTCATTTTTAGTGTTTTCGCCCGTCCGGCCATGACGATTAGTGTATATTCATGATTCTAAATAGGACTCTCTGGTTCAACTGTCTTTCTGGATATATATATATATATATATATATATATATATTCCTTCTTCTTGGTGACTCTTGTAGTTGTTGTTCATCATTTTTTTTTTTACATTTTTGAATGGCTGTACAGCTCGTCAGGACAATCTAAGCGGTTACAGCCTTTCATTTCGAGCATGTCTGTGGTTGGGGTTTACTCCACCGCTCTTCGTGCACTGAACAAGTACCTTGTACTTAAGTCACTATCTTTCATAACGATGGTTGTTGCACCATCGGTGCACACCACTGCAAATCTCCAAAATGAACTGTAGCTTCATTGCTATAACTCAACTTGTAGTCGCAAATGTGGTCTGTCAAATCAGCCAAAGAAGACATATTTCTTCATCTCCGATGACATCGAACAGAGACGAACTCTTATGACTCACTCTAATGGCAGAAGCTGCACCCCCATTTTGCAATTCTCGCAGCAGCTCTCAGTAAAGCTCATAAAAGTCGTATGTCAATGTACTAGTTAATCTCATGAGCGTATTCTGTCAGAGGTGCGTGACCGCAACGAGGGGAGTAGAGTGTATGTCTCTACAGTTCGTGAGGCAGACAAATCCTTCTGGTGGAGCTGCTGAGTTCGTCGCACGCTTCTATCATGCCAAATCTTCACAGTACCATTCTCACAGTATTTAATGCTCGTTGTCGTGAAACCGAAAGTCCAAACTTCCGAGGAATACAAATACATCTGCACCCACACCTAGCAATGTCATCAGGGCTGGTTTAAGCGGTTGGCTCTACCAGAACCCAACTTTAGTAAATGACTGAGGGGGTTCTTCATTCGAAGACGTTGGAATCATTTGTTGATGGTCCCTTAGAGGCTCAAAAGTTTTGTCACGAGCAAGGATCAACTACCAATCGGCCGGATGGATGAATATCAGCTTCGTTTTGCCGGATTCTAGTAAAATCATCTCGATCACTCATTCGTCGTCCTACTTGAGGTGCAAGTGCGTTATTCTAAAAGGAAATGAGAAAGGCAGTTTGAGCGGCGCGCTGGCTGCCTCAAGAGCATTCCTTTGAGGGGATGCTTTAGGGTTTAGGGAGCTCGCTAGCTCCACCCCCCTTCTTCCCTACTGCAGGTCGTCATTCAATCCGTCAGCGTCACCGTGTAGTTGCCAATTGCCTTGGTGCTAGAAGTTCAACCACCCTCGAATGGCCACCCCTGAAAATTTGAATTCCTGTGAGTGGAACATTTTCTCAATTCCTACTTGTGTTGCACGGGGTTTTAGCTGTGGTAACCGATTTCTTTTAGGTAGCTCCTTTTTTGTGAGGTTTGTGAGTTTGTAAGCTGTGTTTCTGAGGCGGTGAAAGCTGGTTGAGAGTGTTAGTTTGCCTCTTGTTATTTGGGCTCTCGTCGAGAGAGGCGAATTCCGTTGGTAATGGTCGGTGTTTGGTTGTATCTTTGTTGAGTTGTGTGTGAGGTTTCAAATTCTTTTTGAAATTGGTCATCTGGTCATGCGATTCCATTTTCGATCTCAGTGAGTGTGAATTTTAAAAATTGTGGTAGCATGAGGTTCTGTAATATAGGCTTTAACCGTTTCCTTCCACTTTCATTAAGAATTCGCGCCGTTGTTTCGATCTGTGACAAGTAAGGGTAGAAGGGAGTAGCCTCGTTGTATTTTATTTTATTTTTCTCTCCCTCTCTTCTTTGCGAGCAGAAGTCTGTTAATGTGTATGGGTTTCTTGATAATATAAGTATGTCTGGCTTGACTGTACCTGAAGTCATCTGCACATCATGGTCCAGGTTTGTTCTGTGGAATTTTACCCTAATTGTCTCATGTTTGATTTTGACTGCGGTATTCCATCAATTTTCCTTGGATGCCGCAACTTCATTCAAAGCAGGAACTTTTTAGCCAATATTGGTTTTGGAGGGCTACAGGAAGAGGAATTTCGAAGGAGGTTTGGCTGGTGCACAGGGTAATTAGCCAATTTGAGTATTTCGTTTGAAGTCTTGACAGATGTTTCATGACCCATAAATGATTATTATTGTTTGAGGACAATCGATCCTTATTACCTTTTCTACTTCTTGGAAGCAGTCCACTTGGGATCCAGAGAATAGAGATACAACTTGCAAAGCTTTATTCATTTGAACGGTTGCGATCAGAAGTTGGAAACTCGGATAATTTCCCAGGACATGTTATACGCTGCCAGATCATACTCCAAAGGATCTGTAGAATCGATGTTGGGAAGCTGCATATCAACAGTAGCTACACCCTCTACTGCGCATGTTGCAGTATTATCATCTTCTTCTTATTCGGCAGTGCTGTCATCAAGTGTCAAGTTTGATAAAATGCTTCGAGTTATCCGATTTCAGGCGCATCGGCGGCTTATACGCCGGTCGGATATTCGCCATGACTTGCGTTACTGTAGGCAGCTAGAACCTTCTACCCAGCCTCATGATTATTCACCACAAGCCTTTGATTCATGCGGTTCATACGTGATAGAGGCTGGGCTCGAGACGAAGGAAAGTAAAGGACATGGATTGTATTCGTTTCGCAGTTACTTTCCTACAACGAGAGCCTCTTTAGCTGACTCACCTTTTCGAAGATTCAAAAAAGACAAGGAGATTATGGGGAGAAGAGACCTCTTAAGTCTACCGCATGTATACAACAGGAGAAACATTTTCGGCGATGTTGGTCCCATCACGCAAGTCCGAGAACTTGGATATTATTCTTACCAGGAATATTCAGATGACGAATCAGGATTTTATGAGAATGATGTCATTCCTCAATATGTTGATATAGAGAGATGGAGGTGGAGGCTGAACCAGTTTCTTCGGGATGGGAAGCAGCAAGAGATGGTTTGCACTGACAAGAAAGACAGGCGGGATCATGACCATATTGGGGATCTGATGAAGCAAATGGGTCTTCATATGAAGTTGTACTCCAAAGTGCTAGTTATTAGCAAAGCGCCGCTGCCCAATTACAGGCCTGATCTGGATGAGCGCAGGCCGCAACGATTGGTATTGTGTCTGCGTCTTTTTCTTTCTGTTTTTTCCAATCTCTGAGCCCTATTGTAGTAGATCTGTAAATGCTATTGTTGGTGTTATTGTTGAGTTGTGGATGTCTTTTGAAGTTGTATCCATGATAGCGCAGTGTTGATGACGAACTAAGGAAGAAGCTTTGAGGTCTTCGGCCCCATCATTCATAAACTAATAGGCACATTCTTCGAGAGTCGAATACGTAATAATTTTCTAGTAGCTATTTTATCAGCTCCAAATGAAAGAAATCAGGAACCAATTCAAACTAGCCGACGTGTTTCTGACATGGTGACTTCTCACACGTTTCTTATAAAGCGAGCATGCTTCGTCTAACGCAGTTCCTTTTGAATCGCATATTGAGATTCAACAGGGGAGCTTATCACCTATCCTGGTATTGCGCAGGTTTCATTTCCAAGCCAAGTTCAAAGGAAGGTTGATGCCTTGCTCAAAGAATTTGCATTTCGCAAAAAGCAGGGCTTGATGTCTGCGTCTGAAGGTGGAGACATTGATGAGGACACGTGTAGTGATGTAGTTGATGCTGGGTTGGAGACTGCCGATATGTTACCAGGCATGGCTAATGCAGTTCAAGAGCTGCAGAATAAACGCAACAGGCAAATTCGAAATAAGCAAAGAGGCTGGCAAGAGTCTGAGGAGGGACAGAGGATCCTTGAGTTTCGGAAGTCCTTACCTGCATATAAACAGAGGGACGCTTTACTGGCAGCTGTTGCAAGGAATCAGGCAATGTTTACATGATTACTTGGACTTGTGAACTATCTTAGGGTTATGAAAGGCCAATTACTAGTCCTGTTAATTAACCCTGTTTGATCTGTCTATGCTTTTATGATATCCTTGTATATTTGAGATGTCTAGGAAGTTTTGGATCATGAGGGGGTTTTGTTCTGGGAGAATGGTTATGTTCTTCACGAGCCGTCGCATGCAAGTGTAAGAATGCTTATCATTGTTTTGGTTTTGCGATGTTCCAGGTTGTTGTAGTTTCTGGTGAGACGGGCTGTGGGAAAACAACTCAGCTGCCCCAATATATTCTTGAATCAGAAATCGAAGCGGGGCGAGGAGCAACTTGTAGTGTAATATGTACACAGCCTCGTCGAATTTCAGCCGTATCAGTGGCGGAAAGAGTTGCTGCAGAAAGGGGGGAAAATATTGGTGAATCTGTTGGTTATCAAGTTCGACTGGAGGGTATGCGCAGCCGGCAAACACAGTTACTCTTTTGCACTACGGGTATTTTATTGCGAAGGTTGATGAATGATCGGGAATTGAAAGGGGTTAGCCATGTCGTTGTAGACGAGATTCACGAGCGAGGCATGAATGAAGACTTTTTATTGATTGTTTTAAAAGATCTTCTTCCTCGACGGCCTGATCTTCGCCTTGTACTGATGAGTGCAACTTTGAATGCGGATCTATTTTCATCTTATTTCAATAGAGCTCCTATGGCACACATACCAGGCTTCACCTATCCCGTGAAGTCTTATTTCCTAGAAGACATTCTGGAAACTACTGGTTACCGCCTTACTGCCACAAACCAGATTGATGATTATGGTCAGGATAAGCAGTGGAAAATTAGGAAACAGTATGTTACAACCCGGAAAAAGAACCCGTTGAACAGTTTGGCGGATGATGCACTGGCTGGCGAAGATTTTCGCCACCTTTCTCCCCGAACCCAAGCCTCCTTAGCAGCATGGAGTCCAGACAACCTGGGTTTCAATCTGATAGAAAATGTTCTTCTTCATGTTACTCAACATGAACAGGAAGGTGCAGTTCTTGTTTTTATGACAGGTTGGGAGGAAATTACTGCTTTAAAAGAACAATTACAGAGACATCCAGTTTTGGGCAATCCTGATGTCGCTCAGATCCTTGCTTGTCATGGAACTATGGCCACTGCTGAACAGAAACTCATCTTTGAGCACCCTCCTCCTGGAGTCCGAAAAATTGTGCTGGCAACCAACATGGCCGAGACCAGCATTACAATTAATGATGTCGTATTTGTGATAGATTGTGGAAAAGCCAAAGAAACCTCTTATGATGCTTTAAATAATACCCCGTGCCTTCTGCCTACGTGGATTTCTCAGGCATCGGCTAGGCAAAGACGGGGTAGGGCTGGCAGGGTGACGCCCGGAATTTCTTACCATCTATATCCCAGGGCTGTCTATGATGCTTTTGCTGAGTATCAGCAACCTGAGTTACTTCGCACTCCTCTTCATTCCCTTTGCTTGCAGATCAAGAGTCTAAAACTTGGCAGTGTTAGCCAATTTTTATCTAGGGCTTTGCAGCCTCCAGAGCCACTGGCAGTTCAAAATTCTGTGGAATTATTGAAAACCATCGGAGCTCTTGATGAGAAAGAAAATCTTACTCGTCTTGGTAAACATCTGTCTCTCCTTCCAGTGGAGCCTAACATTGGGAAGATGCTTATCATGGGATCTATTTTCGGCTGCTTGGATCCTATTCTTACTATAGCTGCAGGTCTTGCTGTCCGCGATCCCTTCATCATGCCTTCTGAGAAGAAAGAGTTGGCCGATGAATCTAGGCTAAGTTTTGCTGGAGGAGATGCAAGTGATCACATTGCATTGGTGAGAGCTTATGAAGGATGGCAAGAAGCTATGACGTATGGAACTGCATATGATTATTGCTGGAAGAATTTTTTATCTTTTCAGACTCTGCAGGGGATGACTTCGTTAAGAAAGCAATTCTCTAGCGTCCTGAGGGACGCCGGGTTCTTGGACAATGATATGGAAAAGTTCAATAAGTATAGTGGTGACCGCGACTTAGTCAGGGGTGTAATTTGCTCGGGTATGTATCCGGGAGTAATATCGGTGTATCGACGGACGAGGTGATTCCTGACTTCGAGATGTTTGTTTGTTTATTTATTTAAAAGATGGATGTTTGATTATTAAAAGTTTAGTTTTCTGATTTTTATTTTTATTTTTATTTTTATTTTTTGTGTTCTTTAAAACCTGATCCCCATTTATGAACTTCGTGGTACAGATCCACAACTTTCAAGACGATTGAAGATGGCCAGGTTATGCTGCACCAGAATTCAGTGAATAGCAAGGATGTGGATTTTCTATATCCATGGCTTGTTTTCACTGATAAAGTGAAGACCTCCAATGTCATGATTCGGGACACTACTGGTGTATCAGATTCTATGCTTCTCTTATTTGGTGGTCAGGTAAGACTGGTGTCTCCCTCTGCAGTGTGGCACGTTATCACGATGTTCCTTCTACTGCTCTCATTATACAAACGAGCGTCAACTTCCAGGTTTTTGTTGAAGAGTAGCATATTCAGATTAATATGTGATTGGGTGCAGATTGCCTGTTGGATTACTATGATCTTCATTTACTTCGGATTCGTTTAATCATACTGTGTGGAGTGGTGCAGGTAAATCAAGGCGGTGAACCGGGCCACTTGGTGATGAACAATGGGTTCATGGAGTTTTTCATGGAACCAAGTGTTGCTCTTATGTATCTGAGGTTACGAAAAGAACTGGATGATCTAATTTCGAGGAAGCTAGCAAATCCAGAAATGAGTATCTATGAAGAAGGAAAAGTTCTTATGAGAGCCGTTTTTGAGGTTTTAGACGCTGATCAGTGTGAAGGTTCCTTCACATTCGGACGTAAGGTGAAGGCTTCTAAGCCATTGACCAGATCGTCGGACTCATCAGATGTGAAGGGATTGTTACAGACGCTATTACTTCGGGCTGGAAAGAAACCTCCTGTGTACAGAACACGGATGGTGAAAGGAAATTTGTACCAGTCATCTATTGAAGTGAAAGGCAGGGGATTTACTGGGGATCCTGCTTCCAGCAAGAAGGTCGCAGAGAAGAATGTAAGTGCAATGGCTCTGGAATGGTTGACTGGCCTCTCGAAGCCAAAACGCATGGCCTGACATCCTACAATGGACCAAACTAATGCTAAAGTTCTCTAGAACTATTGCAAGAAATGGTTGTCAAGTGTGCCATCTGAAAAGCACAATTATTTTGTCAGTTGGTTATACCTCGGTTACGGCCGTAGACAAGACACTTGACGAGTTACCCATTCAGATATCTGGGTTTGTGCACTTAAATGCTTGATATCTGCACAAGCACAATTCTCTTGTTGACATGGTCATTCAGAACCATCTACGCAGTTGGGCACAACGCAGCAAGCATCACATTCAAGATGATACAGTATTCCCCAGTCCCGTGTCATTCAACCCCACTCAAGAGCTGATGCTGTTGAACCAGGCTGACTGCTAAGTTGTGGATGTCAGTCCTCCACGAAAGTGATCCTGTTGGAATCAATGCCACATCTTTCAGCTAATATTTGCTTAGCCTTCTGTGAGGGAGTTGGGAAATCAAGCAAAACCTGAACTGGGTTGGCATTCATCCATACGTGGTGCAGGTGGAATAACTAGGACCAGCAAGTTTTGTTAATTGCAGGCACACTCTACAATACCACCCTTTTAATTTTTTGATTTTAAAAATTTCAAACCATGTTGAGTGCATGGTATGGGTTCTAAAGAAGGACCCCAAGTTACATGTTTTTACGAGGCTGTAGAAAGGAAGAAACCCTGACTAGTGGGTTAATATTTCCTTGTAAGGAGATGTTCAGTACCCTTTTTGCAGAGTAGGTATTTAGAAAGGAGTTACAGAAGAATTGCATTTCTTTTTAGAGTATCCACACAATTTTTAGTTTCCAAATGATTATTTGTGTGCTTGATGAACCTGGAGACCTCATGAGGATGTTGATATCCTCTTTACTGCCAAATGTACCATTTCCACATGCGAATAAATTGTTATGAGTGCCTTGGTGCTTCAGATAACATTAATGAGTACCATTTTTGTTTTTGTTTTTTCTCTGAGTTGTCAGACTCCTGGGTGAAAAGGAGTGGGCAAAGTAACTGGCAGGGTTAGGTGTTTTTAATTACTAATTGGTATTGGAATTGAGGATGTAATGTGGCATTGTCATAAATTTAGTTTTTATTTTTGTTTTGTTTATTTGTCATTTTTTTTAGACAATTAACTGGTGGGTGTAGATATTTAGGAAAGAGAACTGGAGGGAGGAATTTTGTTTAGAGGAGTGAGAGATCAATGACGTGGAGGATACAAAATGTATACACATAGAGCAGCAACAAAGAAAGAAAGAAAGAAAAACAAACACAAGGATACACGATGTACTTGTTCATAGTTAGTACCCAATGGAACAAAATCTCCAGTAAAACCAAATGTATTTCCACAATCACTGTTTTCTTATTAATCCTAGTTAGTTTTCTGGGAATTTTACATAAAAAATTCTTTTCCTGACGCCCACAAGTGTGTTCTTAACAGCATCTCCTTTCAACTGAGCAACCACCGAGACGCTTTGTTTTCAGGCAGCGTCACAGAATCAACAGATTTATTGCCGAAGAAGGCAGAAGCTTGAACGATCCACGGGTCATTCCAACATGTACATATGTGGACATGGACAGTAGTCAGACGACAGGGGAATATGCTTAGAAACCGGATCGTGCCAGGCTGCCCTCATTCCGGGTTTGAATGGGATTCACGAACAGTGCGCATGAACGACTTTCAAGCGTCTTTTTTTCTAGATTCGGCGAGAGCTTGTTCGTCGCCAATCTCCCCTGCACCACCGATTCCACGAGCTCAAGAGAAAGCAAAGCTGTCTGAACCGTGGCGATTCGTGGCATGCACGTGAAATTCGATCGCCCATGCATGACATCCGGTAGGCTCTGCTGTCAAAGAAATAGCTTATACAATGCCAACCACGTGCCTCTTCACATAATACCTACCCGACTCAATTACTGCCTCCCCTACTGGTTGCTTTGCTGCCCTACTACACCTGAAACGCCAACCTGAAAAGCCCAATCTGAACCCATTCTCGAGTCTTAGTCTTGTTCGGCGTCAAAGGTTCGCTGCTGGAAAATTCCATTTTGCAAGATGCTGCTGGAACGAGCAAGGTAAGTCGGTTACTGCGCCTGGATCGAGTTTTTCTTTTTGGAATGCGTGTTTTTATTTTGTTTTCCTCGAATAAAATAAGAATGCAGTGGGTGGAATAGGAGTGGGTTGTGGCATTGGTTCGACCTTGTGAGGAGAGAAGGCTAGATCGGTGACTATACTCGCTGAGTGTGGCGTGGAGTCTTAGTTTGAGGTGCTCGGAGAAACCCACATTGCGGAGGGGAGGATAAACATTGGGATTGGAGCGAGCTTTGGGATTCGGGAATTGTCGGAGACGATTGATTGATTGGTTGATTGGTTGGTTGGTTATCGTTTGCCCTTCGGGTCATACGGAGTTGATTCAAGGATTTTGTGGTTACTCAACCTGGTGGGTTTTCAGCGCTACGTTTAATGAGCTTATTAGGTGGATTCCGCGGCTCATCCTTATTTGAATATCACTGCCAAGAAGGAAAATTGTGGGAGAGGGATGGTAGTGACTATCTTAACCATTTTCTCAGTGCAGGTGGAGACCATAACCTAACTCATCTGCTGAGGGGGATAGTTTTGAGTCATTGCGCCAGCTGATAACGGTCGAGTAACAAACTTGGGCACAGCTATCCTCTTTTTGAGGGCGTGGATTGCTGGTAAGTAGTGAAAGAACCATGTGTGGAATTTTTGCATATATAAATTGCAATGTTTCAAGGGAACGGCGACACATATTAGAGGTTTTGTTCAATGGGTTGAGGCGCCTGGAATATCGAGGTTATGATTCGGCTGGCATTTCGATTGACGCTGATGGGGATGTTGCCTCTGCGGAGTTACACGGCTTGGCCGCACCTGGATTCTCTCCTCTCGTTTTTCGCGAGGAGGGGAAGATTGAAAAGCTCGTTACAAGCGTGTACAAAGGTATGTTTCCAAAAAGCAAAGAGAACCAAAAGGGAAAGAGTAAGCTAAAACATTACAGAAGCAAGAAGGGGATGCTGATTAATAGAAGGGAATCTGTTTGAGCGATCATGTTGATAAATCACTCACAACATTGACGCGATTTGTTGATGGACACAGAGGTGAATGAAACCGATCTGAACCTTAATCAAGCATTCACAAATCATGCTGGAATTGCGCATACGAGGTGGGCAACACATGGTCCGCCATCTCCTAGAAATGGCCACCCTCAGTCATCTGGGAACGGAAACGAATTTCTTGTAGTGCACAATGGCATCATTACAAATTACATGGTACTATTTCTCACAACACGATACTTTCACAAAGAGTGAGTGAGTGGGTGAGTGCCTGAGTTTGTGTGTGTGTATATATATATATATACACATAAATCTGAGTTGCGCATTTTTGGGCATTTTTTTACTTATTTGTTCAGTTTTACAGAATCCTCTCCAATGACATCTATCTGATAACCTGTTACTCTTTTTAGGGTGCCGAGTAGATTTTGTTCCTTGACAGCAGCCTCTAAACATATTTTATATTTAGAAAATTATATCAAGCACCATGAATTCTGTCATCGCTCATTGTCTATTGGTATCGTCGTGCAATTGAAATCTTATATTGATAAGTGATGTCCAGCTTTACGGATTGTCTTTACGGCCTTTCTGTTTCTGGGCTGAAGGTTTTGAAGGAAACTCTTCTGCGTCATGGTTTTGGATTTGAATCGGACACGGATACGGAGGTTATACCTAAGCTTGCGAAATTTGTTCATGATTCTTTGACCGAGGAAACTAAGTCTGGGAATGGAGGTGAGTTTTTGTAGCTTTTGTGATTTGAGTTTCTGTAAACAAAGGATCGGTGAATTCTACATTGTTGCAGACATGCTAACTTCTGGTTGAATCAATTTACGATCCTTATATCGTATTTGGTTGTAGAGTTTTTCTTGTACCTTTTGATCAATGCAAGAATGGTGTCGATGACTTTGCAGGTGGTAAAGACATTCAATTCAGCCAAGTGGTTATGGAGGTGATGCGTCAGATTGAGGGTGCCTATGCTCTTATTTTTAAAAGTCCTCACTACCCAAATGAGCTCGTTGCTTGCAAGTGTGGTAGCCCTTTACTTCTTGGTGTGAAGGTGAGCTCTCAAATGTACAGCTTTTAACACGTTTGTCTTAAGTTTTTGGAATATATCTGCTAATCTAATGTTATTCGGCTACAGGCTTACTATGTAGTCTACTAACGAAGTGAATTAATTGATATGGGCAGGAGATAGGAGAATCTGAGAATAGAGGCGTGTTTGCGGAGAGCGAGCTGCGGCTAGCCGAAGACGGTGGCAAGCCGAAGGAATTTTACTTTGCCAGTGATGCAAGCGCTGTGGTGGAGCACACAAAAAGGGTCATGGTGATTGAAGACAACGAAGTTGTGCATATCCGAGTGAGTATCCATCATTTCTATCTTGATTTTCAGATACACCAATTCGTCATATGATGCGGCAAATGCATTTGTATGCATGCATTGCTGGTACTGCAATTAGTGTTGGGGCAACTTCTTCCTTACTTTGAAATTGTGCATGATTATGGGATATCTGACTATTATGAAGGCGTTTTGAATTTTAGAAGCCACTATTGATTGTTTGCTTGCTCGTCTGGGTCTTTTTATGTGCAGAATGGAACAGTGCAGATTTACAAGTTTGAAGCTGGAAAGGCAAGGACTGCATCAGGAGGCTTGCCACGACCGGCCTCAGTTGAGCGTGCCCTTTCCATTTTAGCTATGGAGGTTGAGCAGATAAAGAAGGGAAACTACGATCATTATATGCAGGTCTGTCAATAAATTTCTGAAGCAGCAAATTTGTAAGGTGTAAGTAGCAAACGTCATGTGGGTTCCTGGTTTTTGAACAGTCTCCTGAGGTAGACGAAGTCATGAGTACGTATGGTTTTCTTTTTCAAAGCACCAATCTTTCATTTTCACATTAGGTCGAATATCTCACATCCTTTTTTTTTTCCTTGACTCCCCTGTCTTTGCAATCTTTTTTTCCCTCTATCCTTGTAGTCCTTATGTTAGCGTACGTTTTGGTTTGCAGAAAGAGATACACGAGCAGCCAGATTCGTTGACCACAACTATGAGGGGCCGATTGATACAGGGGGAAAATGGCAAAGTGAAGGGTGTTCTATTGGGTGGTCTTAAAGATCACTTACGAACTATCCGACGTAGTAGGAGGATCCTCTTCATTGGGTGTGGTACGAGTTATCACGCCGGATTGGCAACACGAGCCCTTGTGGAAGAGCTGTCAGGTACTACTAGATTGGTTAAGTGCTGTAAAAATTATGTGGCTTTATTCAGCTCTTGTAATGGGTTCGTCACCTCGAGTCTTATTGGATATGAAGTCCCTTCTAATCAAACCCGAGCTTCCTCCATACTATCTAGTTCTTCTCACGAAGTGTTCCTTTGATTGTTGTGACTCAGCAATGCTTTTTTCTTTCTTTTTCTTTTTTCCTGCCTAAAACACTACCTGCAGGTAGCAGCGAGGGCTCCAACTTTTAGAGGGGTTTCAAGAGTGTAGATGTGAACTTTAGGAACCATTCTTCGGTTCTTTGCTAAGTAATATTGTGGAGAGTGGCTGGTTGTTGATTTTCTCTGGTTCTTGTCATCAGGTGGACCGGTGACGATGGAATTGGCTAGTGATTTACTGGACCGTCAAGGACCCATTTACAGAGAAGACACTTGCTTTTTCGTTAGTCAGTCAGGGGAAACAGCTGACACACTTCAGGCCCTAGAATATGCAAAAGCTTGTGGTGCTCTTTGTGTAGGAGTTACTAATACTGTTGGCAGTGCAATTGCCAGAGGCACTCACTGCGGAGTGCACATCAATGCTGGCTGTGAAATTGGTGTGGCAAGTACTAAGGTATTGATTCTGATTGCTCTGTTGTTATTCAGCCCAATCTGTGGTTTTATAAGATTAGATATCACATTTTATCTTTTGCACAAGCTTCGGTGCATACATGCTACTTTTTGTATGCTTGTGAGATTGTGGTTGATTGTGTCTTGATGTTCTTCGTTCTTACTATTCTGCTTCGACTCCTATCAAATGTTTTCATTTCTGCCTAGTGTATTATGTCACTATCCTATTTTAAGCTGTTAATAACTTTCGTTGCTTGCATCGTATGTAATCTGAGTTGGGTATGGGGTTTTATTTGTGTAAACATCAGGCTTATACGAGCCAAATTGCTGCCATGACAATGATGGCTTTAGCACTTGGAGAGGACACCCTGTCAAATCGCAGCAGGCGTGAAGAAATCATTGACGACCTTTTTAACCTTCCAGGTTCTTTCTTTTTTTCTTTTTTCTTTCTTTTTGTGTGTGTTTGTGTGTGTGTTCTCAAGGAATCTATTTCATTATTTGCTGCATAAAAATAACGTAAAATTCTCGTTAATATTTTATTATTACGCGTGCACTAAAACTAAATTTTCACGAGCAACAACTATTTTCAGTTGTGTAGTGATGTTCAAAGTATTTGGTGTATGCCTGTTTTATTAGGAAACTTACATGTGTGATTGATGCGGCACCATTAAATGTACAGACAAGGTCAAAGAAGTGTTGAAGCTGGATAATGACATGAAAATGCTAGCGCAAGAGCTCATGATGGAGCAGTCACTTCTAGTATTTGGTCGCGGTTATAATTATGCTACTGCCTTGGAGGGTGCATTGAAGGTTAAGGAGGTGGCTCTTATGCATAGCGAGGGTATATTGGCAGGGGAGATGAAGCACGGGCCTTTGGCGTTGGTTGATGAGACCCTTCCCATCATTGTCATAGCCACTCGAGACGCAACTTGCAGGTATGATGTGGCATGTTTCTGTCTAAACGTGGGAGTTAAATTATCTTATGCAAATTCGTAACTCAAGACTAAATGTGAGAAAGCGTACGGGTTGATTCTGCTTGTTGTACTTTGTTTACTTGTTTTAAGAAAGTTCATTCGTAGTGACTGATGCCAACTGGATGCTGATCTCCTTATATTTGCAGCAAGCAACAATCTGTCATACAACAGTTGCAAGCACGCAAAGGCCGCCTTATTGTGATATGCTCGAAGGGCGACGCTAATCTCATGTGCCCGAATGGTGGTTGCCGTGTTATTGAGGTTCCGCAACTTCAGGATTGCCTACAGCCCATCATCAACATTGTTCCCTTTCAGGTACATTTCAACTTTTCATGCAGGATTTAGTGCAGAAGTTGGTAATATCGAATATGTGTGGCAATTTAAATTGCGAGGCAAGTGAAAATTTTATCTGTCGGTTATGCTATACTCTTTTATTATTTACATGTGAAAATCCTTAGTTTCAGAAATGGTGTATTTAGCACAGCCATAATCGCAGAGTTATCAAGATATAACCTTGCCGATGGGCTTCCTGACTTTGTGCTCGTAAATCTCTGCACAGCTATTAGCTTATCATCTGACAGTTCTGCGCGGCTTCAACGTGGACCAACCTCGGAACTTAGCCAAGAGTGTGACGACGTCATGACCAATTGTACTCTGATTGCTGTCTCTTTGAAGGACTTTTCGTAAACTGCGCAGGAACAGGGTCCATCACAATAGGCTGCACTTTGTTAAGAAAAAGAACTGGTTTGCTATGGGCTCCAGTTCAATAATTGAAGGAATACTACATTTGGAATCTCCCATAACTTGGTCCTCGGCAACTCCATAGTGGTTCTCATTTCAACTCTTGCCAGAGGTTTGTCGAAGATGAAGAGTTGAGACACTGGAAAAAGGCCAAAGAACTAGGGCTTTGTCCTTGTGATATATCTTGACATGTTCCTTCATTAACACACGTGCAAACCAACCTCCCTTTAATGTAGGTCTCTTTTAAGGAAGGATTGAAACTTCAGGGGGTACTAAATCACAGCAATTAAAAATGGTGGGCATATCGAGAAATTAAGCCTCACTTCACGGGTGCCTTCGCTTTACAGCTTAATATAGCATGCGTTGTCAGTGCACATGTAGTTGCAAGTGGAACCCCTGTACTTTCTGTTTCCTTAGTACAAATAAGCTTAGTATGTGTCTCATCATCGAATTAGTTCTGAAGAGCTTTTTATGAACATCATGAGTATTGGTTATATTCGATGACACCAGCAGGTAGATTGTAATTGGACAATACCTATGATTGTAGCCATTACAGAAGTGAAGGATTCAATAGTAGGTAGAAGCCAGTAGGGCTTGTTAGAGTTCACTATCCTGGAAAAGAGGGTTGTAATGCAATGAACTTAGCATCCATTTTGGATGGATTTAATTTTTATAATGACAAAACACATGGTGGTCCAGCATGTTGTTTCAAATTCAGCTTATTCTTGTTATATGTTCAGGGGAGAAGAGGATATTTCGCATTTACACCGGGGTATCCCCATGCGGAAATTCAATATCTCTGGTGATCAACATTGAAAAAGTGCAGATTTATTGAGGATTTATGCTCATGCACTTTTGAGGTGGTTAAATCAGCATCGGCTAGAATCAATTTCAAAATCAAAGAGCAAAGCACGGATCTATTTGGTAAAAAACATGCATTGGATGAATGCACATCGATTGTTGTTGACTAATTCACTAAAAGGGGATTGGCCGCTCAAACCTCCTCCACTTGGGGAAGGCTCATCAACGCAAGGACGGCAGTTTTCGGTGTAAGCTCATTGTCGAGAATTCTTGCAACAGCGGTGAGAACCGGCATCTGCACGCGGTACTTCTTTGCCAGAGAGATCACAGCTCCTGCAGTTGCAACTCCTTCTGCGACCTGGCTCATGGAGGATAAGATATCTTCCAGCTTCTCCCCAGATCCCAGACGCATCCCAACGGACCGGTTGCGGGAGAGATTCACGAAACATGTGAGCATGATGTCACCAGAACCGCTAAGGCCGGAGAGAGTGTGTGATTTTGCTCCTATTTTCTCAGCTAGCCATCTGATCTCGGAGCACCCTTGAGCCACCAAAGCTGCCATGCAGTTATTGCCGAGATCCATGCCTTCAACAATTCCCGCAGCAATTGCAAGGACGTTCTTCAATGCGCCCGCTATCTCCACTCCCACGACATCGGTGGAGGTATTTACTCTAAGATAACGGGAAGCAAGTAATTGCTGACAAGCGCTAGCGAGTTCCCTGTCCCGGGAAGCGGCCACCATGGCTGTAGGGAGTTCGTCCATGAGCTCAATGGCGAAGGAAGGTCCGGAAATTACTGCAATGGGTTGTCTGGGATTGCCGAGAGCGCGGGGGATGATCTGAGACATCATCTCTAGAGTGGAAAGCTCCAAACCTTTACTAACGGAAAGGATGGGGAGAGTTGGGGGAACGTGTTCGGCAATGTTGCAGAGAAATTCCGAGCTGGATTGCACGGGGACGGCATGTACACAATAGTGGGCATCCTGAAGAGCTTCTCTCGCATCTGTGGTTGCGGTGACGTTCTTCGGGAGCTGGTGCCGGGGAAAGTACTTGAAGTTCATGTGGTCATCGTTGATGGCTTGACATGTGGTGTAGTCTCGGAGAAGGAGAGTGACGTTCATGTCGGATTTATTTCGGGCTAGAAGAACTGCCATGGCTGTGCCGAAGGACCCACCTCCCAGGACGACGACCTTCTTCGTTTTCATAAGGACATTCTTCCGCCGCTCGTTCAGGAGCTGCCATGATCGAGACCAGCGAACGAGCTTCTCCCATGCTGTTCGCACGACCTTCCGCTCCTCTTTGTTACGAGTGAATGAACCCGGAGAAGTTGAAACTGGAGCCTCATTTGAACTTGATACACTCTCAGATTGAGTGTTGTCTTTTTCTGGGTTCACAGGTTCCGTAGTAACGTTGACTTTACCGTCATCAAAAGAAATCAGAGCACAATTCTCCTCTTCGCCTCTTATAAGGATCAAAGGCGCCTTCCCTCCAGCTTCATCCTCAATGATCAATCGATGAGTAACTTGAGTTTCCAAAGCACCGTCATCTGTGTCCAACACTACTGGTTGCTCTTGCTCTTTCAATGAACAGACCAGCCCACTCCAATGTGGTTTTCGGACGTTTAGACCACCGATCCATGAGGATGAACCCAAGCAATCTCGTGCACAGACCAGAAAGTCTAGCCCTGAACTCTTCGCTACCAGCGATGGTCTCTTCGTAGCTCCCGACGCACTCACCACTTTCTTCGAGACATCATTAGGCCACATCCGCCCCACAAGTGAGGACGCACATGGTACTGAACCGCGAGTTTGAGGCTCCGGGGAGAGATGGACCTTGGAAGAACTTGGAAGGCAGGAACTAGAGGCAGCCAATTGCAAGGGGGAGGAATTCTAGTAGCTCCAAATCCCACCATCATTGGTGCCAAAATCCTACTCTATCCTCTCCATCACTCTATCCTCCTAACTGGGTGCTCTAATTTCTTCATTGAGCGCAACCTCAATCACCGGGAACCAAACCTCAATCTAAGATTGGCGAAAAGTCAGTAGAAGCAGAAAGTCACCATTAGCGCTAAGAATTCTCAAAAGCCTCAGTAACCTTCAAGCTTACTACACCAAGGACGTCGAGCCATTGGACTCAAGCACCAAAGACAGACATGTCACGAATTCGTCCTCAGACATACCTCGAATGGCAATGGAGCTCGCAATGCGCGCGCTCTAGTTTCGAGGAAAGCCACACCACAGGTATGCGTGAGTGGTCATTAGCTCGCACCTCGTGGTGATGATCTCCTTGCACCCCAACTGCTCCTTCTCTCTCATCCGCTTCTTCCACTGAACATCGCTGCAGTTGGCAACGCCCGGTTCGCATGTGGCACTGAAATTCCACACCGAAGCTGCATTGGAGTTGGGCATTGGGCTTGTGGAAGCGAAGGGGAGCATTTCGCGGGCAGGTTAAAGAATAGTGGCTATGATGCGCACTAGGAGTGTGACCGGTGGGAGTCTGGATAGTGGGATTTTGTATGAGGACGAATGAACAGCGTTTCTATTTCGGATGAGGCTCTGCCTCCACAAAGGACATCTACGCTCGACCCTGACACAGGGCTTAGGGCTTTGCACGACTTAATTTGGACTGCAGCAAAGTTAGGTAAGAGCACATTAGAGTCAAACTAACGTTTCGTTTCCCAATTGAACCACTCCGCATTTCATGTGGATGTGAAGGCTATCTATTGCGCCATCACTACACATTATAAGAGACCTTGGAAAGTATGTCTCGAAATTTTACCGTGGTATTTTATTTTTTACGTAATACTAGAGGGTGGATTTAAGAAGAGGGTGGCAGCAGCAGTGACGAGTAGCTTCTTTCCTTTTCAAGCGAATTCAGAAAATGCCTAATGAGCATCACTGTTGTGATTACAATTATAATATTGCGAATCAACCGTCCTCCATTAAATTTTTGTTGGAGAGATCTCTCAGACTTTGCACTATGGATTTCTGTGGTCTTTTCCTGACTAATGTGCACAACTCGTGCAGTTTGTTGCGTCGGGTTTAAGAGATGTCTTGCTAGTGCAAAACTACTAGCTATCAGAAATGATGCAGGTTGTCGAACGAAGGATGCAAACTGAGTAGATTTGTGTCTGCCCATGCAGCAGTGCGCTAGATTGCAGAGAAACTGAGACATCCGGGGACGATCTGCTGTATGTATCTGAGCTCTTTCGATGATTACTGTTTTCATGCTTACATTACCATCACTTTGCGTGTGTTTCTCCGTCCTGCTTCTGGACAAGTGCTCCTCACGTCCAAGCTCTCTCACTCTCTCTGCGTGTTACAAAGATCCCTCGGGCAAATTAAATGCATCCATGATTTCGTTATGAGGATCATCAGGAATGAGTGTGATGGTACCTCTCCGGGTTACTTTATTTTATTTTCGCATGGACAATTCTTCATCTGCCGATCTGTTACCAATTGATCTGTGAGCCAACAGCAAAACCTTCTATTCTTTCCAGCTCCGATCTAGATAGCAGTAAAATCCTATGCATAAGCTCTTGTCATACTTTCTTAGAATTGGGTGCCAAAACAGTAAGGGTTTTGTATTAATGGACAGAAAAGCATTAATTATATATATATATATATATATATATATACATGTAAACAAATAACCAGGAAAGGACGAGGTTTAGCCTCATGGGTTATACTTAAAGAAAGCATCACCCTCTGCTTATGAAATGTAACTGGTGGAAGAGATGTGTTTGTCACTGATTTGATAAAAGCTGAGTGATTGTGTATGTGCAGAGCTATTGATTTCATTACCTAGATCATGGACACTCTGTTGCAGCTTTCTTCTTCCAACACTTTGCCTGAGGTTTTGTGTGTAGATGCTCGGTCTCCCTTGGCTCTGCTGAAAATTTGGTTGCATTATCAAGAAGAAATTGTTTAACAATCTCACTATTGGGTTTGACTAGTTCTACTCTCAAAGTGTTCCATGATGCAAATCAACAAACTAATTCTCACCAAGTCAATGCATATCAGATTCATATTCAACACACTCTACATTACTACATCTCTTGAAAGACATCTAAGTATTCAAAATTTAAGGTATAAGTATTTATATGCATGTAAGTTTTTAGGAAAAAATATTTATTTATTGTTCACCACAATTTATTTAACTAAATATATTTTTTAAAGTAGTATTGTAAAACTAATAATCTATAATCTTAATACTCTTAATTAATAAATATCAAAAGTAATCTTATTTTCAAGAGTTAAAATTTTTTTTTGAAGTTTTTTTATAAAAAAATTTATAATGATTTAATTAGTATATTAACTAATAGATAATTATTATTTTTGTAAGTTATTTAATAGTTTTATCAACTTGGTTTACAAGATTATATTTAATTATAATGCATATAGTTTCAAAATAATAAATTAGATTTATTTATTTTATTTTTATTTTTTTTGTCAAAACCATATTTTTATTATTTTCCACAATATTCTAATTGGTATTAGTTGGTAAAATTTGTAACTAGCTAGACACATTTTTTGCTAGTTGGACACATATCAAATGATATGTAGAATGCTGCTTTATAGCTCCTTAGTTAGATAGTATATATGAAAGTAAGAATAAAGCCTTCTTCACTCTTGTCAATTTCTTTAATGCTTTTAGTCTAGTTTTAAGAATTTATAGCTTTCTTATCTTTTGCAATAGTAATTTTTGTTTCTTTTTGAATCTATATACTTTCTCATTTTTTTTATGTCATCTTTCTTTAAGATACAACTTAGGTGTTTAATTATGTTCTTTTAGTTCATCTTTGTTAGATTGACAAGAATATATTCATAATATCAAAGCTTTTTCTTTTTTTAATTTAGTAAGAGTTTATTTTTTATATTTATAAAACAAGCATATTAGAATTTGTAGATTATTAACTTCTGAGCTAGTATTTTTTGAAGATTTTTTTTTTATTCTTAAGTCCTTTTTAATTTTTTTTAAAATTATATATATATATATATATATATATATATATATATATATATTAATTAACTGCTTCTGGACAAGTGCTCCTTAGACTTAATGCACTGCTTCTGGACAAGTGCTCCTCAGACTTAATGCTTACAATGCATCAACTTTATTCACCACTACAAAGAGCAACTAGATTAATTAGTAGTATAGACAAAGAGATGATTGGAGATGCTTCAATATTTACATCAAATCATATTACTTCTTTTATAATTGAACATCATTTAAGGAAAAAAGAATTATGAGTTGCCTTGCTTGAGAAATTTAATGGTATATTATTAAAGTATTTGATTAACAAAATTTTGATTTGATCACTTTAAAGATTTATTAAAAAGATGAATTAAATGCAATTAGTGATTAAACTTCAATCTTTAAGTTATCCACACTCTAAGATCACAAGTTAAGTTTATTAAAATAATTCTTTTAAGTCCAATTTTATCATGGTTTTTTATTTTTTTAATAATATAATTTAGTATTAGATAATTAGAGGCCTTTTTAGTAAAATTTTGATATATATACAAAAAATATGATAAAATTTTTATTAAATAAATAAATAAGTAATATCAAAGTAATCATTTAATATCATTATATGCTTTATAATTATAGCAATCCATAAGTAATATCAAGTAGAATGATCTTACACTTATCACCTAATTTTTCTATAGATTGCAATATATAACAAAGAAATTAATATTGAACTTACCTAATCTCCAAAAATTGAATCAAGCAATTAATTTTGCCGTGAATTGCGAGAATCAACTTTTTGAATTTTAACTTGAGAATTGCACAAGCATGCCTCAACATCTTTGTAATTTAGTAATAACACCACTTCTAATGGTGAAAAGACTTCAATTAGTATTCCAAGCCAATATAAAGATTATTAAGATGTTTTTATTAAAAAAAGGTTACTATTCTTTGAGAGCATTGTTCTTGTGATTGCTTAATTGATCTTCAAGAAAGAACTCAACTACCACTTGAATCAATCTATAGCTTATCACAAAATAAGTTAGCTTCACTTAATTAATATATTGATGAATACTTGGCCAAAAACTTTATATGCCATTCAAAAATTTTAAGATAACTTTATATCTTATTTGTAAGGAAAAATAAATAGATTATTATAAATGTATATGGATTATCAAAGATTCAATAAGATTATCATTAAAAATAGATATCTTCTACATTTGATATTAAGATACTTTAATCAATTAATTAAAGCAAATATTTATATAAAAATAGATCAATAAGAAACATACAACTTAATATAAATTTAAAAATAAAATAAATAAAAGACCATATTTTAGATCAAGTATGAGAAAACTAAATGTAATATTTTTTAGACTTATAAATATCCTAATTGCTTTTCAATATCTAATAAATGATATTTTTCAAAAAAAATTAGATGATTTAGATAACATTTAAATTATTCTAAGAATACAAAAAGCATAAATTTTATATTTTTTGTGTATTACAAAAACTTAGGAATAAAAAATTATATACAAAGATGAAAAATTATATATTTTATATAATAAAATTTTATTTTTTAGAAAATATTATTTCAAATAATAGCCTTATAATAGATGATAAAAAAATCAAAACTATCATAGATTAGAAGATTCTAAAAATAATAAAAGATTTTTAATTTTTTAAAAAAAATTCCAAATAATATTATATTTTTATCAATTTTTTTTTTAAAATTGCAATTCTAATTACATATTTGGCTTACAAAGACAAACTTGAGTAGAATATAGAAGTTGAAAAACTATTTGAAGTTTTAAAGGCATCTTTTAGTATAGCACCAATTTTATGTTATATTAACTTTTTGAAGACATATTTTATGAAAACTAATAAATTGGACTTTGCTTTAAATGTGATATTATTAAAAATAGAAATATATGATAAGCTTTATGCTGTGAAGATATAATATGGAATGATGACAAAAAATCCAAATACTAAGTGCTAAAATTCTAAATTGTCTACTTTTAGAACATTGTAAGTTTAGATCACCCATTGAGAATACATACAAACACCACAAATTTAAGAAATAAATTTAATTTTAATATATTTTTTTAAAAAAATTATTTCAATTGTAGATCAAAAATAACTTAGTACTTTGCTACCAATTTTGAATCCAAAACCAATCCTAATCCAAATGCTTCTTCTTTAACTCTCTCTCTCTCTCTCTCTCTCTCTCTCTCTATTTGTTTTTTTCTTTCACACACACACTTACATATACACACACATATATACATTCTTTTTAACAAGGTTATTTTCATTTACATGCCTAGGTTTTTAGTGTTGTAATTTTGATCCTTATATTGTTCTAAAAAGATGTGGATAATACTTCCTATCTTATCAAACATCACTAGTATGCATGTATTAACTTTAAACAAGACTTATTCTTTATAGTTTAAAAAAGGTTTTACAAAAATTTTCTTTACTATCTATCTAACCTTCCTCTATATGATAATATTGTTGTTAGTAAAGAAATGACTATTTGTTCCAAATATTGTATGCTAAAGGTAGATTGTATGCATGTTTTTCTTATAAATCAAATTGAGATTGGAAAAAGTTCCTTACACAAATACTAAATCATCACTTCAACACTTTCTTTAGAAGAGATCAATATATAGGCATTATCCCTAGATGTCACCTCAATCTTTTCAAACTTGTGAAAGAAATCCTAATAAAATCTTAATGAAATTTTTAAAAAATTGTGATAAAATTCTAATTAAATTCTAATCAAATCTTAAATAAATCCTAATCAAAATCTAATCAAATCCTAATCAAATCCTAGATTCTAATCAAATCTT